TGTACAGTTTGACGGTAATCCTGAGTGATGAGACTGGCCTAGTTTAGATCAATTACTGAATTTCTGATGGCTCAGCAGCTCACAGGTAAAAATCAGTATTTGATACTTTGTATGTGTTAACAAGTTTGAGTTTTCTGCCTGTGGTTGTGGATAGATGTACTCTAAGAAGCATGTGGAGCTGTTGTTTGACGCAACTAATTTCTTTAATATTGATTGACTGACAGTTAATCACTGATGACTGACACAAGCAGATTTATATGTAAATCAGACTAGCCAATTGTCTTTTGAAAAGTATCTCATGTCCTTTGAGGACTGCTATTATTTATCATGTTTAGTAAAGTTTGGCTAACATACTCTCACCACTAATAGAGCTGAAAAGATTAACTGATACATTGATCAGATTATTATCAGAAAATAATCATTTATCAAAAAAAAAAGCAAATATTCTCTAGTTATCATCTATTTTATGTCAAATTGATAATCGTTTTGGACTGTTGGTCGGACAAAATTCGACGATGTCTTGAAACACGCTTTAAAACGTTCAATCATTCCTTTTTGCTTTGAATAATTATTAAAAGAAAAAATCAACACATGAATCAATAATTAAAATAAGATGCATCCATTAACACTACCATACCTACAAACTGCAAACTGACATGAAAAAGGCATTCAGCGTGTAAGTAGAAAACACATTAATTACATTTACCAAAAACCAAACTCTTTCATATAAACAGCCTCCAGGAACTCAATGTCTTCTTTTTTTTCTTATTCACTAAAGAAGCAGTCACTGGTGAACCTTTGTTTAACGGTGATTATGACTGCATGTGCACAGTGACTGAAATACCTGCTGAGGACCAAATGCCAGTAAAATCTGTTTTGGGGGGGGGGGGGGGGGGGGGGGCAAATCAATAAGGACCACTCCCCCTGTGGCTGATAACACTGCTATTCTGTGAATTCGTGCACAAAATGTGCTCGCAAAACATGCAGGGTCACACACACGACACACACCCACACACACAGCCACACACACAGCACACACGACACCCGATTCTTCTGGTCTGTAAAACAGACCATGATATCATTGATAGGGGTTGAGACAAACATTTGAGTATTACCAGCCATGGCAAGTGGAACCAAGAGCTAGGCGTAGTTCTTTCCTTTCCTTTCGTTTGTGTGTGTGTGTGTGTGTGTGTGTGTGTGTGTTTTGTTGTGGAGGGTTGTAAAGGGACCTCTGGATTAAATTGTTTGACAGGCATACCTCTAGCACCCAGCAGCCTACCCTCTAACAAAGTGTGCAGTTGGTGTAATCCCCTCCCTACCCAATCCCCACACACACGCCACCAATGGCACCTGCTCTTAAGGACAACGTAGGTGCCTTAGTGGTGAGTGACAATGGACACAATTTGCTCACAGTATTATAGGCAATATTGATATGCCAGCTGGAGGCTGCAGCTAATATTATTGCCATCGTCGAATAATCTGTAGTTTTTCATTTTTTCTATAAAGAACAACTGGTCTTAAATGTTGATAAACTCAGAGGTACATCCTAGAGGTCCAAGTGACATCTTAGAATGTAGCTTGCTTTGTCTGCTTTGTGTTGTGTGTTCACTTTTACCAATGGAAGAAAACAGCAATCCGAGTAAGCGGGGGGGGTTGGGGCAGGGGGGCGGCGGGGGACGCGGGGGCCGGGCGTGGGCGCTCCGGGGCCGGTGTGTCGGCCGGCGGCCGCGGGTGCGCGGGCCGGGGGGCGGGGGGGTGTGTGCGTGCCGGGGGGGGGCGGCGAGACCTAGTAGTTTTTTTGGCGCTGTAGAAAATTACCTGAAAGAATGGTGTGCGGTTGTTGTGTCGACAGTCTAACCTAGGAGGCTGCAAGTGGGATTTACTTGAATCATTAGTTGCTCGTATTAACTATTAAATTTATGTATGGAACTGTCTAGGTAAGTTGAATTTTTTGGGAATTTTTTAAGAAATAAGTGATAAATTCTCTATTTTTCAAGACTTCCGTCAGTAAAGTCGAGTATTTTTTCTGTTCTTTAAGTGTGTAGATATCTTTGGTATTGCGGACAAAACAACATTTTACTGACAGCTAATGCAATTCAAGTACCCAAATCGATGATCGACAGATGAATTCAGATAATGAAATGAATTAGGACTACAAAATACAATCAAGTCAATATATGAGTTTTAAATGAGACAGTGTCACAATGCGTGACTTGAGTATTCAGTTTTCTCATCTACAGACTGAATTCATTGTTCATCATGTTGCAGGGT